GAAGCACAAAGCCAGCTGGGTGACCTTGGGCCAGTCCCTCTCTCTGCAGCCCTAGGAAGAAGAAGGACAGGGCAAACCCCTTCTGAAATCTTGCCAAGAAAACTGCAGGGACTTGTCCAGGCAGTCTCCAAGAATTGGACATGATTGAACAGATTAAAAAAAAACACCATACATACACACACAGAGTACATATATACAATACTATTTAAAGAACTGTAACACTAATTATCTGCAGGAGAAATTCTCTTTTTCTCTCTATCTTTCTTTGGCATAAAATGAAAGATCCTGGGTTTTATTTCTTCCTTGTTCTTTTCTTCACTTCTTTTTCATTCCTAGGTGACTGTCTGCAAAACATTAAAAACTTTGACAAAATGATGGATGTTGTATGGGAAAATGGTTAGCAACTGCTGAAGCCATGAAACTTTTCCAACATGGCAACGAGCAGTTACTTTCACAGTACATTCATCACTAAATATATTACAACAGGTTGGAAAAATGAGTTTTGAAATGGAGTCAAATGACTTCCGCCCCAATATACCATTGGTGTATATTGGGAAATATGCTATTGGTGGTAGCAGAACGTTTTGTTAGCAAAAATGCTTGACCAAAGAAGTTGTTATTAAACCACTGCAATTTATAACAAACACCCAACCTTAAAGAGAAGGAAATAATAAAATCTTTTATGGAAATGAAAGCAAAGTGATACATGCTAACTTAGATACATGAGATTTGAAAGTCATTTAATGCATCCACTATATCTAAAGCTCTATGAAAAAGTATGTGTTCCCTTCTGAATTTTCTGCATTTTTGCATATTTTTGCCACTGGGATTATCAGAATTTCATGGGGTCCTACAAATACAGAGAGGGAGTCTAAGTGAATAAACATTTTGACACCTTCAGATAAGTAGGATTATACAATGGCCTAGAAGACCTCAGCTCTTCCCAGCCTGTCCCCTAGGTTAGAGGACCATTGAAGAAGCAGGAGAGGAATCCTTTTCCTCCAACTTTGGTGGTGGAGTTTTGGGGGAAATGAAATAGCCTGTGGCTTCAAGATGTAGCTATAGAGACAATAGGATTGCATCTTTAGTCTTATACCTGAAAGAATTATCTCAAACTTGGATTCAATGACTAATACTGCATTGTAGAAAGAAGAATTGACATCCTTTCTTTGATGCTTAGCTGGCATGTATCAAATCTTTCTCAGAACCAACATGATGCTGTTCAACAACTGGATTTTTGGGCAAGAAATGATCTAGGAAGGTGGGTGGTGTTTTTGTTTCTTTGTTTTGTTTTTGTTTGCTTCTCTTGCTTTTAGTGTAGCAAGTACCAATTTCTTAGCTAATTTTCTGGCTTGAGGTATGCTAGTATAAAAAAGCATCAATTGTTATAGTTCCTCTGGCAGCCTGTGCTGTTGCAAGTTGTTGCACTGATGTATCTCATGTGTATCAGCATCAAAATGTGTAATAAATAAATGATGTTTTGGAATGTTAAGAGAAAAAGAGTGGTAAGTCTTGGGATGTTTTTTAGTGACCCCTCTCTTTGCATCGTTCCCCTCCTGTAATGCTCTTACACAAAGTGCCATGGGAAAGTCCTACAGCAAGAGCTCAGGGCTAAAAACCAGATGAGCATATTTTGGAAAAGAGTTACGAATAAAACAAACCAAAAAGAAGTTCTGCTGGGCCAAAAGAAGTTTTTAACTGGGAGGAAAAAGCAAAGTAGAAGGCCTGTAAAGAGATTTGAAAAATGATAGCAATACTTTGCTTATATATTTTTTTTTCTTTCTGATTTATTTTGGTAATGTCAAAGAATGTGATCTGCCTATTATGGCAACAATAACAGTTTTGCTTGTTTGGAGGCTTTTCACCTCCCTTTCTTCTTCAAAAAATACAGGATCATTTCCAGGATACTACCACCACCACAAGCAATTAATAACAATAAATAGCATGTGAAACAATTTATCCCCATGTTGTTTTTTCTACTTCTCTCAGTCTTACTAATAGGAACAGAACTGACCCACAAAGTCATTAAAAGTAAGAATAAAAAAAAATCCCAAAATTAATGGGAGAAAGGGCACCGGTTGTCACTTCCTCACCCTCATGGTAAAAGACTGACACAATATTTTGATGATTCTTTTTCCAGAACTTTCTCATTATATGCTATGCAACCTATTGACGTAGGATTTAAAAAGATGCCAGCGCTATCTAGTCCTTTGGACCTTCCACTTTAGCTTTCTAGGTGCTCTGCTTTACATACGGGACTCAGGCAAAAAGTAGGGAAATATATGATAATTAAAATGGCAAATTATCATCTCAAAGACTGTTTGGCATTATAAGAATAAATTAATCCACTTAAATCATTTGATCAAGAATAAAGTTGATGATACCATAAATTGGTATAATCCTTAAATAGTCATATGATATAAGAATTGTGAACTCATGGATCTCCCAGAAACTGAGCTGGTTAAAAAAGGAGTTGCCCACTCACTGGCACATGAGAATCCCTGTTGTTTTGTAACACCTATGTTTCAAGCTCTGCAATGGTTGTCATTAAATCTGCGTGCCATTCAAAATGCTGGTTTTAACCTAAAAGCTCTCTATGGCTCACCTGCTAGTTATCTGCAAGACTGTCTTCTCCAAGTAGAACTGACAGCTTTGGTGGGCTCCTGCTAGATATTATTAGTGGTTATCTACTTCTAAGAGATGAGGGGGCAGGGGCCTACAAAATGGGGTTTCTTGATTGTGACCTCTGTTTTATGGAACAGCCTCTTCCTTGGAGCCAGACCAGCATCCACCTGGCTACCTTTCTGGAAGCTGGTGAAAACTGAGCTCTTCCCAAAATGTTTGGAGGGTGATGGGTTAGCACCATGGAGTGTTACAATATTACTGTGTCTGTGTTTATTATTCATTGGGCTTGGAAGGTACTTCATTTTTATGGCTTTGATTAATGTTAAGTGCCAGGAGTCCTTGTTGATTAGGGAGATACAAATAAATAAATATACAGCTGAAGATCATGGTCTAAGGCAGAGGGTGCATGATGATTGGTCAAAGAAAAGTGTTCTTTGACCAAAAAGAATCTGAATAAACACTATAGACAAAAACTCTGACTTAAGAGAAGGTAGCCTGCTATGTGCTTAGACTATTGCTTGCCTACGTCAACCTAGAGACTTTGTGGGACTGGAACTAAGGATGTCGTAACTCATTGTTTAGCAATGATGTCATGTTAGCCAGCAAGGCAAACAAAGTATACAGACTGATCTCAAATCCCCAAGTGCTCCCTGCCAAATCATAATTTAGATATTAATTTATCTACAATGAAGGTAGCTTAAGTCCTAAGATTAAGGACTTTTGGCACAAAATTGCTGGTTTCAATCAACCATCCGTGGTTTCATCCATTTGTTTCTGGAGTTTATTACCACAATTATTATGTGGCTATCTTAACAAATTCAGGTCAGTTTGGTTGCTTGTCTTTGACTTTGATGTATGTGTTCCTGTTATCTTTGTTATCTCTTGCAGATGGAATATTCCCCACTTTTTCACCTCAATAACTAAGGGCTGTGGCATTGCCCCAGAGCAGAAACAGACATTTTGCCCTTCGAGGCCTTCCTTTTACTATATGCATTCCAATTTACATCTTATTTGCTGGAGGCAAACAAGAAAATGCAGAGAACTATCCAATACAAGATCCTGATGAAAGAAGGTTGTTTCCTCTCCTCTTTTTCAGACCCTGGGCAAAAGTGTACTTGACACAGAGCTCAAGTCAAATTATTCCTTTTCACTTTAATTAGAAGGAGTTCCAAATATGATCAAAGAAGCAATAGGATTAAAGTAGTTCTCTCACCTATGAAAAACTTTTTCCCAACTTGTTTTTCCTTTGATAGGGCGAAAAATCTTTTCCCTACAGATAAAAAAGCACATAGCAAAAGTGGTATTTTTTTGTGCAGACTCCTGTGGTAAAGATTTAGTACCCTTCTATCATTTCTTGGCCTCCTGAATCATCATCATCATCATCATCATCATCAGTCAAGAAGCTTTTCATGAGCTTCCTGTTTAAACTGATCCATTTTATGTCCCTTGTTTATGGCTTCATTGCAAATTTTCATTTTCAAGTACACAACAAATAAAACTCCAGACCCATTTTTCCTACGCCTGTGAAGAAAGAGTTGCTGAGAAGCAGGAGAAGGGCTGTCTTAAGTGAGAAGACCAGTTACTGATGAAAATGGTGACTCATTCAGGAGCCATGGTGGAGAAGAGAAGAGCAGAGCAAGAGGAATTAACATCCTGTTCTTGAATAGACAGAACATAAAAGGTTTCACTTAAGACTGGCTCACAGTGATCTTAAAAAGAAGTGTTGTATAGATGCTGTTATCTAAAGTCCTGGTTACAGGGCAGAAGAACAAATAATCCCTAACTCAGTTGCTCACAAAAAGGCAAAACAGCTTTTCCAAGGCTATACTGGGGAGACTGTTCCCCACGTCATTGCTAGAGATCCACTGAGTTCCAACCATTTTATGTAGCTCAGCCAACAGTCATATTTGCTTTGTTCTTACTGCCTCAAGTACACATTTGCCCAGAGTCTGAAACAGGTGGGGGAAAAGTCCTTCTTTCACAGGGATTTTGCCTCTTACGCAGCAATTCCTTGTGGCCTTTGATTATTGAAGCTTGATTACTGAGGAAAATGTTTCACAGGCAGACTGTGTCTTCCTTTAGGAACCAAAAACAGCCCCAAAAGGAACCAATGGCTAAGGCCACACTACAGATAGCACTGAATATTATACACTATGGATGCTTTATCAGGGAATGAAATATTCTTAAAACCAATAGATCTGTCAGGGTGAGAAAGGCAACAGAATGACTTAAGGAAAGAAGAAAAAGATTACATCCCTGGAAATTGGCATGAATCGCCAGAGCGAAACAAATATAGTGCAAAGAAAGAAAAAAACCAACAATGGTCTGATAAACTAAGGTCCAAACAATGAAAAGAAAATTCAGGGAGGTTCCTGGTTACCTGCGTGCTTTTGAACCTAATCTACAAAAGATTTCATGCTACAGACAAACAGTGATTGCTGATTGCTGTAAAATTATTCATATTACTCTGAACTTGTTACCTTGTTAGGAAGATGCTAACACTTCAGGGCTGGACTACCTTTTCTCACAAAGTTTCTGGATATGTCAGTTCAAAAATTTCTTCTGAAAACTAAGATAGAGGTTTGCAGTCAGATAGGCCTTGAGGAACATTAGCACTTCTATATGGAATTCCTTTCAGTCTGCTTAATTCTTTCTTAAATTCCTGCTTAATATGACCAGCAGAGGAAGCTAGGAACAGCCTCAGTTCCTAGCATTTCCAGTCATCCCTAAGGGGTGAGAGGAATGGGCTCAAAATGTGACTTGGGAGCAGCATATCTCAACTTTCAAAAAGTAATCAATCCACAGAATACCCTATCATCATATATATTTGCATAGGTAAACTGTTTTTTTTTTTTTTAACTCCATCTGCACTGATCCCTTCCATCTCTTTGATTCTATTACCCCAGGCCACTCTGAGTTGGGTCCTTTAAGCATTTGATGCAAACCACATTGTAAGCAATGTGCCAGCAGAAATGGTGTCATGCTTCAGTGTGGAACAGACCTACCTGTTTGAGTCAATTTGACTTAAAGTAGCCTGGGTAGAATCCCAGGTGCCTGATATCTCTACCATTTCCCTTGGCACCTATCAGTCTACAAATCTTATTAGATTTATTTTACTTTACATAATTCTGATATTTTAACTACCGTAGGGACTATTTCCTCAAAATGGAATTTGCCTGATCCATGAATTCTCTAAGGCAGATTACTCTTTCGGGACAAGTTCCCACAAGAAATCAAAAGGGACCCAGCTCTGAAGGAAAGCCTTCTCTGCAGCAGCTCCCTTTTTAGGTGCCCTCTAACCCTAGAGATGCCCCAACATCCTTACAGGCATTCCATGGAGCCATCAAAACTGTTCTGTTTCAGCTGCCCGTCAGTGATTGATTCCTGATGTTGGATTTGGAGTAACCATCTTGTACTGTCTATCATTCCTGATCTTGTTTTACATGTAAACTGGCATCGGCGTGAAGCTGAGGTGGAGGAGTTGTCACTGGACAACTTCATCAGTCTGCCTTTGCAAATGGGTGTCTTCCAACCAGCCACAGCTTCTCTGATAGCTATTTTCTGAAAAGGTCTGAGACACAGTCTCAATATGCCCAGTGTGCTAAGAACGCAGGTATAAAGCATAACCGGGAAATTCCCTTTCCAAAAGTTGGTTTGGCCAAAAATAATAATACCTTGTAGAAATGTGGTTAGAATGATAGATATTCAACCGATTTAAACCTGCTCTGGCTTTAAAAAAATGATGGCTTAGGATCACAGTTAGCATTATAGTTCAGTGGTAAATCAGTATGTAACCAGTATTAGAGCACACAAATATTGGTTTTATTAACACCAAATTGACAATTTGATTTGTTCATAGTTTTAGGATTTGTCAGTCAGGATTCACCACCAACAGCTTGATAGGTTATCAGGAATTTATTTAAAAGGTTTTTATATGGTCAGACCTTTTCAGCATGGTAGTCTGAACTGGACTGGAGCATAACATTTGATGCATGAGAGCTCGTAACAGCCATGCTCTTCTTTCTCTCACCCTCTGAAGCCTCAGAGTTTCCTGGATAGAGCTTTGTAGTCCTGATAAAATCTCAAGAAGTTGAACTGATGGTTTCAGATATGTCCTATGCTATACTCAGAATAAAACTCCTACGCTTCTTGTGCATCCAACGCTTTCCAAGAAAGGGAATACATGCACATATCCAGGGACAGGGGAACAGCTCAAAAGGCCAAACATTTTGAATGCGCAAAACACAGCCCATAAGGACCGAGGAGCCCCATGCGGGCTGTCTCTGCTAATCACCAAATAATGCCCAGCTGTCTGAGATGCTGTTCTGGAGCATCTCTAGCCAAGTGATCAGCCTAGTCCTGCTGAGGAAATCAAGAAGAGGGATTCAGGACACACAAAACTATGCTTTGCCTTGTTTCATTGCAACCTGTCTTCCACTAGAGGTCAGCCTTCTACAGAATCCAAAACCAGCTGGATTCTTTCTTCCCAAGTGAAACTGGCTGCTATTTCCACTCTGAATTTCTTAACAAAGATTCCTCCAAAGCCATAAACTTCAGTCTCACACCAAAAAAAAAAAAAAAAGTTCTTGTTGTTTTTTTAAATAGAGGAAACAGGAAAAGAGAGCAAGTTATGAAAGAGCCACGATAAATTCCCGCGAAGCATTCTGGTTAATGAGGAGAGAGGGGGGCAATGTTTTGCCTGCATCTAAACTATATTTTACATCTTTTCATTTGGCTGGCACACAAGGACCGGTGGACATTTGGCACAGTCTCTCCCTCCCTCTGTCTTTGGAAGGATATTTGGTTCTTGTTGAGCATCAGAGTATGAAGGTGTGGTAAGTTGGGTAACCGAAGGTCATTTTGGAGAAGATTGTTGTCCAAGATGAGCTCTTCCAAGCTGCTAAATGTCTGCAGTCCTTCCAGTGACCTGCAACAAAGGCGACAGGAAAAATGATACTCCAGTAAATCAAAGAGGCCATGATGAGCTGAAATAAATATTTTAACCTTCCCTTTGAAAGGAGCGGGAAGAGTTTGGGTTTAGCCCTGTCAGGAGGACTGAATGACAAGAATTAGTGGGAAGGGGAGTGCCAATGCAGCAACACATCTTTCACTTGCTGGCAGAATGAAAGATGGAGGTCGCTTAGTGAATAGCCAAGATCCAAAACAAAAAGGTTCAGATATGAGCCCTGCAGGATGAATTTGTCAATGTCTTGTGCCTTCAGGCACCCCAGCCCCGCCTGACCCCAACCTTCATTCCCAAGACAAATAACTCTGTCACAGTTCACCTTCATTCCCTGGACACAAATTTAAGTTGTCATCCATCATTTCTGCCATGAAATATCATACCCACTAACAATAATAAATTCAACTTCAGGAATTGTTCTCAGCAGCTATTCTATATATAAAATGGTAGGGAAAACAAGAAGATCTTCCTTCTGCTTTGGGGATTTTCATTTTCTTAACCACCCCCCGCCACCCAGCTCCAGTCTTTTCAGTTTGCTTTTTAAAGCACAAAAGAGTCAGTGTTGGAGAGAAAGGCAGAATAATTTCACACCACAGGACACCAGCATAACAAATAATTACACACACACACACACAAACATATACACACACAACCCACATTTAAAGAAGCAGGCAAAATATTTTTCAACTATGGCAACACAACTCACAGGGTTGTAAACAAGCAAGACTAGTAAATAAACGAACCAGTCTTGGTACAACCGTGGCAGTGCAGAAGCCTGGCTTTAACACTTTGCAAGGATGATTATTTCAGCATTAACTTGTAATTTCATAGCTTTGCAAGTTCATACAGGCTGTGTGGGAGAAGCTCTGCATCAATCAAATAAGATTCAGCATGTTATATGAAGCATACACATCAACACACATTTGCAGCTTGTTCACCTACCCAACACCTAGATCTGCTGAGAGGGCTTGACTTGACAGCCGAGCTCATATGCCTACCAGGAAGAAGGATCACCACTTTATCTCCGTCTCACTGTTTTATAGAATGTGATGAATAAGGAAGATGGAGGAGTGCACTATTTATTCATTGTCCAATGACATTATTCCCTCTCTTCAGCATCCTTCATCAAGGGCTATGGAAGACATTCTCTATTAGGAGTATACAAGAGGGGTCCTCAACTACGGTGACACCTCCCACCTGAAATCTCATGTGCCATTTTGACAGAACAAGCCACCAATGGGCCTTAAAGTGAAATGGAAGTAAATGAAGATCTGGATGAAAGAGGTTGAACAACAGAAGGGCTTATGGGCGTGAGTGGTGCAACAGTGAAAAGAAACCCAAACAGAAGTTTCTCCATGAAGGCATCTTTTATGGTCTAGGAGAAGTATGAGAGGCCAAGGAGGCTATTAGTCCCAGGAGACAGGGTACAATGAAACTTACAATGAAATGTATTTCTCTAAGCGAGATGAATTATGCTGACTGCAAGAAGATAGGGGGAAAACCAAACATCTCCTAAAGCTTAGTAATTATTAAGGACACAACTGAATTAGCACACCAAAAAGCATAAAAACACATACATGCACACATATACACATTGTGGGTATACACACAGAGACAATATGTATTTCATGAAAGCACAACTTTTTAAAAGAATTCCAAGACCTTTGAGTTGCAAATCAAGGGAGCTGTACACTTAAAAATGCATCACCAGGTTTATAATTAAATTAAATTAAATTTTCAATTAAATTTGAGTTATAATTTAACATTACATTTAATTAATTGAGTACAATTAACCTGATTGGCACCCTTTTTTACTGTCCCATTACAAAGTACAGTTTGAGGATTCTGGTGGCCATATCTAAGATTGCACGCCCTAATATATGTGAATGGATCACAAGGATTATTTTTTTTAAAAAAGGCCCTTTTTTAAGGTGATAAAAGTACATACCTCTCAGTGAAATGAATTTCCCTCTCAGAAAGCAAGTTGCAGTAAATGCCTTGTCTCCATTAACTGATCCCCATGTGTGCCTTTGCAGAAATTCATTTGTTTCCCCAAGTATCTTTTTTTTTTTTTTGGTGCCTTCGAGCCAGTCTTGACTCCTGGCGACTGCCTGGACAAGTCTCTGCAGTGTTTTTGGTAAGGTTTTGGAAGCGGGTTGCCCTTGCCCGCTTCCTAGGTCTAAGAGAGAGTGACTGGCTCAGGATCACCCAGCTAGCTTTGTGCCTCAGGCAGGATTAGACTCACGGTCTCCCAGTTTCTAGCCTGATGCCTCAACCACTACACAAACTGGCTCTTATAATAACAATCCTTATAATATCCTCAAAAAAGGTAAACCAATATCCCTCTTCCCCACTGCTTGTATTTCAAAGGATATACTAGATATCAAAATCTATCGGTTGTCCAAGGTTATCTGGTGAATTCCTGAGAGGTGAAATTTGGACTCAGTTCATAGTACACCATCTGTCAACGTGGAAGGTCCATAGGAACTAAACCCTGCTCACCTTGTCCTTACCCAACTAGTTCTTCTCCAGGATTCCTTTTTCCATGTCCTAAAATCAAACACTACTTAAGCTCCCTATAGATAAGAAGAATCTTCCTTCACAATGTTAGTCACCCTGAAGAATCTGGATGCTGAGAGTTGCAGAAGAGAAAGAATTCATTCCAGAATTATTGTGAGAAGCCAGTGATGTCCACACTGCTGTTTCCTTTCTTTTATTGTTTGAGAAGAGGCATTTCCCACCTAGGTATATAGTGTCCAAAGCCAGCCAAGTTACCTTGCCCCTCAAGGCAGACAGTCTTAGAAGACCTTTTTGAAGTAAAAATATAACAAAGCAATACATTGAAAAACTAACAAGATGATGCTCTTTCATGACTCATAAAGTGTCTGAGATGGCCATATCAACACCCAGTGGCAGGGCTGGCTCCAGCTACATGCTCTAAAGTATTCTGAACTTTTCTGTAAGTCATCTAGAAGAAGAACATTCAGTCCCATTGGTTACTTTTAGGTTATAATAAGCCTACAGTATGTAGTAATGCCTGGCCTTTCTCTATAAAATGTCAGTGGTAGGTTATATTTATATATATATATTTATTTATACATTCGATTTATTGTCCGCCCATCTCCCCCCAATGGGGAACTCTGGGCGGCTATATTCAATGTTCAGATTATATAATAAAAGTAGTAGTAGTAGTAGTAGTACTTGTCATAATTATTATTTTCACATTTTCCAAATGAAGTTCAGAAAAAGCTACCACCCACTTAGTACTACAGAGCCATATGGGATATAAAAAGACCTTCATTTGGGTTCAGCTTCAAAACAGACATCATTACTGAAATCTCATATACAAATATGCAAATATAATACCCTTAAGAGAATCTGCCAATGATCAGCAACTGGCCAGAAGAGTAAACAAAACCTACAAAATGGCTGGACAGAGGATGGCGTACAACAACGTGGAAAAGAAGAGAGAGAGGGCAACTAGTAGTAAGTTTTAAACAAGAGCAAGGGAAACAGTTTCCAAAATCCTTCTTCAGAGCTAGCCGGTGTCTGATCCTTTGAACCCTGGGGTTTCATCTGCTTTTATCTCTGCCCCAGCTTCCCATCTCCTGAACAGAGATCAGTCCAGGGACAAGTGTTCACCCCAGAGGCTGTGAAACTAGCTGTGTCTATAAAGCGGTGTAAATGCTTTGGCTGAGAAATGCTTTTGAAGGAGACGGGATTAGCATCACGGCTTGACTGGACATTAGAAATCAGCTGTTCCTGTGCATGGAATATTTCTGTTATTAACACCCCGAAAAAGTCAAAGAGCAGCAAGGAAAGCCTATGCGCTGTCTTGGTTTAGAGCAGAGACCTGTCTGTCTGTCTCAGTGAATTAAAAGCAGCGAGGCACCAGCTCAATGCCCCGAATGCCACCCAGGCTTAAGGGGCAGCGTCAGGTAGGAGTCCTCCCTTGTTGCTTAGAAGGCTAATAAGCGTCACTCACGTGCCTTGCAGGTTGATCTCTCCCTGCTCTAATGACACGAAAGCTGCCCATTATCTCACCCACAGGTACCATCTCGCTTACCTCATTGCAGGCCTCCCTCCCACCCCCGGAGGGGAGCAAACGTTGCCAAGAGATTTCCCGTGCTATTTCCAAAGTCACATCAAAATGACAAAACATCACAACGCATTCAGCTCTGCCTGATTCCAGCAGAAAGAACTTTACGTTTCCACTGTAATTAACCCTATCCTCGTTAAGATAATTATGATCAAGCTCTCTGTCACAGCTAATAGCGCAGCATCATTGCCCATGGCTCACGCTTTGCCCTCATTAGCTTACAAAAACAGTGTGCTGAGCAGGAAAAGCAATTCCAACCTTCTCGGGGACTTAGCAACTCCTGCAGCCAGGACAAAACCCTTTAGAAAGCAACGTTCTTCAGAACCATTGCCCGTATTTAAGTCCTTGAACTAATCAGGAAGCTGGCCTCCAGTTTATCCACATCTTGTAATTGGGTCATCGTCTGAAGCGGAATTATTTCTTCCTTCTCTTTCATCCTTAAGAAGTATTGTAGGTGGCAATTTCTTGGGGGGGGGGGCTGCACGGCAACTCCAATCGACACCCTGGCCTGATGTGCAAAATTGGGAAATGGATTTTGATTTCCATGGAAGTGAAAAAAAAGCAGCCATGAGACTCTGCATTAAATTAAAAAAGAAAGGGAAGCTGTAAGCAATGCCATTTCAAAAAATGAAAGAATATAAACTTCCTCATTATACAGCTCCAATCAGCATAGAAGTGTAAATGTTGATTACATTTATATATTATGCCCCTGACACTTAATGTAAGATATAAAATATTCAACACTTTCCAAATCAGGGTTGGGGCCTTTCTCCAAACAGATTTCTGTTCTCTTGGCCAGAAGCAGCCATTCCCAGAAACTAAACTGAGAGAATACAAATCTACATTTCTGTTCTTATGCATTTTTTTTAAAAAAAATAAAATGTTCAAGCAGACTGATTAGATGGAGAATGTAATTAAAGGGGCAAAATTACTAGCAATGTGTATATCTGTTCTACTGATCTCAAACCAGTTTCCCAAATCAAATTTGCCACGGGGAAAAATCTGCTATCTTTGAAGAGAAGAGCTGATTCACACAATATGGAGAGTAAAATAAGCACATATTGCAGATACTCCACAGCATCTCACAGATCTTCTTATGGACACGAGATCCCGAATGGAGCTATCAACTCTGCAGCGTATCATTCAGGAGCAGATTTTGCGAAACTTTTCAGCGAATCACGCACGGGGAATGGGGACTTGAATAAGCTTATAGAATTCTACACAGAAGACAGACATATTTTAGAAAACCTTCATTTCATGAAAATGTGTAATTGGATTCCATCTTTAATGAGAAAGATAGGGAAATAATTAAATGGGAGTTAATCAGAATGTCCCCCTTTGTCTCCACTGAACATGAAAATACTGGGGGGGGGGGGGGGGA